AGAATCAAGCTCAGGAGACTGTTCTATTTAAGGCGTGTAACAGAAGCCAGAATTCAAACACAAATCTGCCTGATGCCAAACCACCGCCTTCTCCAGGGTCCTGACACAGGGAAAATGGCATGTAAGAAGGGAACTAAAATTTTGACTTTCTACCATCCTGGGTTTTGTGTGACTGTTTCAATGCATAAGGCAATATGACCCCATGACAGAAGTTCTGAAAAGCAGGAGGAAAGAACATACTTTGTCTTAATACAACTACCACTTTTTTTTGTTTTGTTTTGTTTGAGACAGAGTCTCACTCTGTTGCCAGGCTGGAGTGCAGTGGCAAGATCTCGGCTCACTGAAAGCTCCGCCTCCCAGGTTCACGCCATTCTCCTGCCTCAGCTTCCCAAGTAGCTGGGACTACAGGCGCCCACAACCACGCCCAGCTAAGTTTTTTATTTTTAGTAAACATGGGGTTTCACCGTGTTAGCCAGGATGGCCTCGATCTCGTGACCTTGTGATCCGTCCACCTCAGCCTCCCAAAGTGCTAGGATTATAGGCGTGAGTCACCATGCCCAGCTACAACCACCACTTTTTATTATTTTGATGTCTTTTAGATTTTCTTCATACCTATCCCTCCTCCACTTTAACAGCACCCTATTGGAAGCTCTGATTTCACTGATAAAAGTCGTAGGGCCAAAATATTTCTGTGTCTTACCTGTTAACAAGGTCGTACAGCTCTGGCATTGTTTTTGCACCGACAAAATACTGCGTTTTGAAGCCATTTTTCTTATCAAGTAGATAGAGTGGATGGAACCACTCTAAGAGTGAGTGGTATAGTCCATAGCGGATGTTCCTTAAACAGAAAAACGAACGACAACTGTCATTAAGCATAGAACAAATAATTTATTTTAAGGAAAATCAGTTCTAGCATTTTTTCATCTCATTGAGACTCACTCATAAGAGCATGTAGACAGGGATGGGATTCAAAACCATTTCCTTAAATTATTCGCCATTCACTTAAGCAAAATAAGGTCTACTGTGTTTTTGATTATACACATAACTACCTTTTATACATAAATATCTTAACAACAAAATGTTATTTAAGCCATCTTTTATCGTTTAAGTCAATTATACCAATAGTGTATAGTCATGCCAGGCGTGGTGGCTCACGCCTGTAATCCCAGCACTTTGGGAGGCTGAGGTGGGAGGATCCCTTGAGTCCATGAGTTTGAGACTAGCCTGGGCAACATAGTGAGACCTTGTCTCCACAAAAAAATTAAAAAATTAGCCGAGTGTGGTGGTGCGAGCCTGTAGTCCCAGCTACTTGGGAGGCTAAAGTGGGAGGATGGCTTGAGCCCAGGAGGTAGAGATTGCAGTGAGTTGAGATTGTGCCATTGGAGTCTAGCAAAGGCAACAGAGTGAGGCTCTGTCTCAAAACAAAAACAAAACAAAACAAAAAAGCATATAGTCCTATTTTTAAAAAATATCTTCCCTATCATAAAATTTCATATTTAAAGAAACTGGAAAACAGAAAATAAAATATTCAAAGTACTCTTATTCAGAAACAATCATTAGTAACATTTTCCACACAGCTGAAATGAATATAGGTTTATTGTTTTATTTATCTAAGATTTACTAATAGTTCTTAACATACACAAAATGAAATGTGGTTGATGACCTAATTTCATACTCAATAAAGCTTGCTTTGGGTTAAGAATGGTGAGTGTTACAAAAACCTTACGATGCAAGAAACAATGGCACAGATAAAAAATAACTGAAGTATTTCATCATATGAACCATGGACTAAATAAAGGTGGTAAAAATCGTGACTCCTAAAGTCCATGTCTAATCAACATCTCAGAGTTTTACAGCAGGACTATAAGCAAAGCACAGTGCTGAGAAACAAACTGAGCAGGTGACAGGAGTCAGCAAACTCTTTTT